TTATAAGAGAAAAACATGCAGATCTATTTAGTCTTATTTGACACAGAAAGCTTCTGATTGAAGAGCCAAAGAGTTTGAAAGAACTATCCCACTTCCTTTTTGTTAAAGAGTTAGCATATATAATTTTATGACTAAGTCTGACAAGAATGGATAGTTGTGATTGGACAAAGCACCTCTTCCTGATGAAACACATGCAGGGAGACCGGTGGGCGCCTAGTGATGTTTGTCCATGTCCCACTCTTTCCTCCTAGTGTGGGATCAACTCTAGAATGCAGGTCTTTAAGGGAGAATGGGAAATAATATTTCTGGGTTTAAGGTTTCTTAAAGGAAATTAGAGGAATTACAGAGTATACGTCCTATCTTAGAGGAAGTCTGTTTTGCTACAGGGGGCAAGAGGCAGGAAAGCAGGATGTAAGAGACTTTGTTCCAGGTACACAGCAAAACAAAATAACATATTTGGGTGTATGACATAAACCCAACATTATGAACAAAATTAAGCAGGCAAGAAAGAAACTGTAGAGGTCAAAATCTCCTGGCTTCTTATATACAATCAGACATTTTGACATGTGATGAAACAGATGCTCTGGTCCCTGGACCAGTTCCTGCCATGATTGTACATCCTTCCATAGCTACAAGACTAATTATTTGGCTTCTTATATACTATGTTTTTTTGCTTTTAATAGCAATAAAAAGTCTTACTGATTAACCATTAAACCATTAAAGCTAAGACAGAAATTTATTTCGAATGTCCTCTATAATGCTAGTCCTGGTTGTGATTTTTTTTTTTTACATTTTAATTTTTGTTTGATTTTTCTCTGTATATGTGTGGGTGCACAGGCAGGTGTGCAGGTACATACAGAGGATGGGGGTAATGTCAGGTGGTGTTCCTCAGAAGTTGTCCACTTTGTTTTCTAAGACAGGTTTTTTTTTTAAATTTAATTAACATTTTTTCATTTATTTTACAGTTTCCCCTCTCTCCTCTCCTCCCTTTCCCTCCCCACACTTCCCATCTACCCCCCCTCCCCATCTACTCCTCCTCCATGAGACAAGGTTTCTTACTGGTTTAGAGCAACCTTAGTAGGACAGGCTTGCTGGCCAAGAGGCTTAGGGACTCAAAAGACTCTACCTACCCAGTACTGGGATTATACAAGTATATTACCATGTACAGTTTTTTTCTTTTATTTAAACTTGGGTTTTGTGAATAAAACCTAGGTCCCTCCAACTAAGATCTCCCTAACACTGATTTTCCTCATAAAGTTTCACCACCAAAAGACTTTATGCACATCACCACCTATCCAGGTAATACTTTTTATAGCCAATAATGATGGGCAAATTAGGACAACTGTCGTTATTTTGGAACTTTAGAAATAATTGATATGTAATATCTCAGCATATAAAGATAAAATGCAAAATGTCTCCACCTCTGTATAAAAATATGTATATCACTAACTGTGAAATAACAGTTTTGTTTTTCTACAATACAAAAATCTGGGCCATTTCATCATTTTAGCATATTCACTCATACTTTCAGCCCAAATAGCTGTATTTAAAGATAGGTAAGTGTAGATTAAAAGAGACTATTTTTACAGAAACTACAAGTCACACAACCTACAAGATCAATAACTAGCTAATAACTAGCTATAACCAGTGCTAGTAACTAGCCTCTAGCTTCCCAATTTGTTATTAAAATTAATATTATTAAAAGATACACAGTTGAGATGTTGCCTAGTATATACAAGATCCTAGGTTAGATCTCTGACCCCATCAAAAATAAACAAATAAAAACATACATATATACATTAGAAGTCAGTACACTAGCCATAAGAAAAACATGGGGCCTCAGCCTCAGATTTTACCTTTTACAAGTTCTGGAACTTAAACATGACATTGGTTTCTTACCAACCACAATGGCTGGAGCTGAGATCACACCTGCCTTTGTCTAGTCTTGACCAGCTTAAGAGAGCAAAAAGCTCCTCTCATAATCTTAATAAAACAAGATGCCCTTCTTAACCAATAGCCCTATGACTGACAAACTCCTGATGGTTCTGTACATGTACACTTCATCTTAAAAGAGCCCGACGAAATGTTCTGAAGGAATAAAACTTTTACATTTCAAACACAACAGCTTTTACTGTACTCCAAATGGGCTCTGGGTATAATGCATCTGCACTACCCTCAAATTTTCCTGGACTAGCAACATACCACCTGACTAGCACACATCTGACTAAGAAGGATATCCTTGCTTCTCCCAGGGCCTCTTGCAGCCTAATCTCCATACTGCAGATGGAACAAACTATACCCCTCCCCACTTCTGCTCTGAACCTCCCATGGCTTATCTGACTCAGAGTAAACCCAAGTCCCCGCACAGCCTCCCATGATCTGCACTCCAAATAGGAGCCCAGAAATGACAACTCATGGCCTACCATACTCACATATAGTCCAGAGGGTTAACAAAATTTTTAGTTTTAAATCATTAAAAAATGCAAATGCAGAAAATCTTGTGATATGTGAAAATTGTCTTAAGTCCCAATGCTGGTATCTATGAACAAGTTCTACTGAACATAACTAAGCTTGATTGCTTATGAGCCATCTATGATTACACTATTGTTCGCCACACAAAGTTTAAGGATTCACTCCAACTCTTTACAGAGTATGTAGATGCCTGACCTAAAGTATACACTGTACATAAGGACCTAATGATATATGTTTGATACCCATGGGCAAAGAAAGCTTGGCTGAGAAAGGCTGCCTGGTCTCCAAACTCAGGTATCATGACTGCCTTAGTTACAACTCTCACCTGAAAACGACATGCTCTGTCTTCTGGGCTAGGACAGACATGCCCCCTGCCCACCTTCAGGTCTCTGCTTACTGGTCACTTTCAGGTAAGTTCTATTCCCACTCTGTTTCTGCTTTTATTGAACACTTCACACCAACTGAATGAGGCCACTAGCATTACTTGACTGATAATGACAGAACACCGGCTTCCGAAAGGCTGAGGCTTCATCTGCGGTGTTCACCACTATATGCATCTCCAGTGGTTAAAAACAAAATACTGAATTATATTGAAGACAAATATATGCAATCAAATACTTCTCTTTAAATGTCATACTCGTGCAATATGCCAAGATAGTTAACTATAATAAGCAGAAATAGAGCAATGGGATACTAATAGGTACTGAAAGAAACCAATGTTTAATGAATATATTGCTTCCATGGCCTTCAATAAAGACCATAATGTCCACTATCAACATGAATAAGGCCAAACTTGTACTTTTCTCTTGAGAAATTATCTAGTACAGACACCTTGCAAATATAATATACTATATTGTACTGAAGGTGGAAAAATAAGCTATTACCCACAAGGAAGGTAACTCTTACTAGGAACTCAACAGGCTGTTAAATAAAAATTAAATTTGTAGAATAAAATATCTCTATAGAAGGTAAAAGGAAGTGACTAATGGTCTAGGAAAGAAAAGACAGGAGTCTTTGATCATGACTTCATAACACATAAGGCTTCCTAAGCAAAACCACACCATCAAGGCACAGGGACCACCTTCAGAGCAGGCCAGCAACAGTTTCTTAAAGGTAGTCTCCACGGGTGAGTGGAAAGATAGAGAGGTGGACAGGAAAAGTCTTGGCCTACTTCTGTCCTAAAGACAAGGAGTGCTACTCTGTAGGAAATGCGGAAGGCAAAAGATCTCAAAAACTGGACTGTTGGCAATTTAGGCCTTTCCCCTCAGGGTGGAGGCAATGAGGTAAGAACTCTGAAAAAAAATTAATCATAAATTATATAAAGGAAAATCATTGTTGAAATTCTGAGAATAAAAATTCTGAGTTGGAAGATATTTGAAAGATTATTCATTTTTTAAAAAATTGAGTGATTGCTCCAGGGACTGGAAACCAAGGTTTCTGAGAGACCTAAAGAAGAGACAGACCACTGCTGAGAACCACAGCAACTGTGACCCAAAGATGACACCAAGCAAGCCTGCTTAGGACACAGTCAGAATGTTCTTTCCACGGCCTTGGTTCATCTTGGCACAATGCAGGGGAACCAAGAACTTCAGCCATTAAAGTAGAAGGGGCTAGCTTAGGGAGTCACACTAGAGACATGAAGCCACCTGGACCAGTTGGCAGGTGAGAGGTGGGAGGGTTTGGAGGAAGAAAGACAAGTCAGGTGAAGGACAAGGGCATGAGGGAAAGGCAGGGATGATGACTGATCTTGTTACCTTGACTGATTAGAAAAACACAACTCTCAGTATGTTGGTGATGGCATATCCAGAGGGGATTTGATCATAAGGGCTCTGACCTAGTCAATGGTCTAATCCATTAGATTCACAGTATGATAAAATTACTGGAGAGTGATGGAAAGTAATGTGGGGCCTTGAACAAGAAAGTACACCACTGGGTGCACGTTCCTGGGGTTAAAGCTGGTCTTGCCTTCATGTCTCCCTTTCTGTGCTTCCAGTCCACATGGAGTAGTCTGACTCATGCTTTGCCCGCCTGAAGACCAGAGTTAACAATCATTCAAGAAAGGCTCGAAACCTCTAAAACAGAGGCAAAACAAATCTGTTCTTAGATTGTTTTGGTGAGATATCTCATCACAGAGATAAGGAAAGTAACTTACACAGCAGGTGATGGAAGACAGACTTGGGGGAGGAGGAGCAAGTGAGAAGGGCCACCCGCTTGGGAGAGACAGGATAGGACAAAGATTTATGGAGGAAGGGCAGTTGGGAGGGTGGCATGGGCTTGGAAAGGGCAGGAAGGAGAGCAGAGGCATAATCTCGGGCAAAACTGTAGCGATCTTAAATTCAGAGGAGCACCGGAAGATGGGGGATGGGTATGAAAAAGCCAGGCAAATAAATGAGTGTGTGCATCGGCGCAGGCCCAGCCAAGGCCTCCTGTCTCTGCTTCCCTCCGCCCAGTGTTCTTGTTAAGAAGCTTAACACAAGCAGCACTTCAGGGTCCCAAAGAGAAAAACTGTTAAGTCGGCGCGCTCTTACCGAGACACACGAACAACACTGACTTGGACCCAACCTCTGCCATCTTTCGGTACGGACGCTGGCGCCCAGAGAACGCGTAAGGACTCGGCGCATGCGTACTGCAAGTGTTCTGCTTGCAAACCTGCGCAGTCCGCGCCCCACGTTTGCACGCCGCCAGAGGAGGGGCCAGAAGTGGCCTGGAGGGTTGTGCTGTGCTGTGGGGCGGGGCTGAGGGGAGGGCGGGGCCTGGCAACAGCGTCTGGAGTCTCCTCTGGGCTGGGCCGTGGTCACACGCCTAGGGACAGAGGGCGGAGTGAACGCGTAGATAAGGTCACGGTGGCACGGTGCTGTGCAGGGCGGATTAGGACGTGCCGGGGCGGCCAATGAGCTCTGGGACACTGGCTCACGGACCCTTCCTGGGCGGCGCTCCTCTGCTCTGAGGCACCGCCCTCGTGGGCAGGGTACCCCGTTGGACCACCGACCCTAGGCCGCGCGTTACTGCACAATCAGTGGGTTTTCCCGATTAAAAAGAGGGGTGGTTTAGAAGGTTCCAGAGGAATGAGGCGGGTGGACGCAATTGAGCTATGTTCTGAGCAAGGTTCTAGGACTGGTGATTGCATTGGCGAAAGCAGGGCGTACACCTATTCCCTCACCTGGATCAGGTGCGCGCCCGTTGGGCGGGTCCTGTCGGAGAGGCTGGCCAAGGAGAACGCCTTCCTCTTCCTGGGCTGGTGTGAGGAACTCCGGCACCGAGCGGAGCGGCGGGCATCAGTGAGTACGGGTCTGAGCGGCTGGGGCAAGTCGGTACTGTGTCTACTCTTCCTCTTGAAAAGGGCATTGTGAAAGAGAATCAGTCGAGTCCCTGGGTTTGTCTGTGCGCATCCACCAAGTTCATACTCCATGGATCCATTTGCAGACTCTCAGAACTCAAGATTAGTTTCTACACTCTTGGTCATGAAGATTGTGGTTGACTGTTAACCACAGTCGTTTCAGTTCATTGCAGAAAAACTCCTCCTGCATTTCCAGTTTTGAAAACTGATTTTCATTTTGTTATTTTTCTAATATCTGATACTTTACCATCTTCTAGTTTCAAATCGCTTTGAGAAATGGCATCCTGTGTGTTTGACACAGATGGGGAGAGCTGCATCTTTGATCCAGAGCTGAGAATTGTGTAGGGCTTTTGTAGGAATAGGGTCTCTGGGGGAAGGGATATTCCCCTAGAGGAGGACCTCACATGGGTTTGGGGCTTCCAGAAGAAGAGGTGTAAGGTCTTGCACATAGGGCCACTGATTCTGCAACACCATACTTAGAGGAGTGGGGGCGGAGAGTGCGCTGAGTGCTGCGCCTCTAGACATAGTGCTTGTATGTTCCTTTTTAGAGCTCTGAATGGACAGGTAACAATAGGAAGCAGTTTTCTCTACTGTCAAAAAGTGCCATTTTTACTTCATTTCAATAAATGTTACCCTTCTCCTGGGTAACAAAGACGTGAGAAACTACCTCACCCACAGGAATGCCCTGCCCTGGGGCAGAAGCATTGCCCTGTTCTGTGTTTACCAAGTGAACAGGTTCTGTATTCCTGCTTGGCCAAGGTACTTCCTTGAGATATGAGGAAATGTTTGGGTTAATAATGAGTTAGTAAACCTGCACACAAAGTTTAGAGAATAATAGGGCTGGGTTTAAGGTGCTGTTTTATTCTACTCTGTGGCCTGTTATTGAAATACCATAGCAGCATCTGGTTGTTTGCAAATTGCTATGTTGGAGCTTAAAAAGAATAAGTAATAACTTCCATCTAGTTTATGGTATCTTCATTAAGGAGAATTGGCTATTGGCTCACTATGTTCAGTTTCTGTGAAATGAGCCAATACTACTCTACTACTTTTTTAACTTTACAAAAAGTTGTGTTTTTTTGTTTGTTTTTTTTTAAATTTTTAAACTCTGGTACATTTATTCTTTATTTTTATTCTCAGGAGTTTCCTCCCTATTAAAAAATAAATATTTAGTGTTCCAAAATACAAAGTTGATAGTAGTCAAAGGTAAAATTTGTACATTCTCACTACTAAGAGTCACAGGTCCTTGTCTATTCACTCATTTGCAAATGGTGTTGTAAAATGACAGGATTCTTTACCGTTTAAAGTCTAAGTATATTGAATTATTTTTTTCCTTTTTTTTAAAATGACAGACAAGCATGTATCCTGTCTTAAGCCAGTATCTCCCTGAAATTCTCTGAGAAGCAGGTACAAGGCAAGGATTTTTCTGCCCTTTGCTCTCAGCTCTTTGTCCCTCTCCACAGACAGGTGCAGGGGAGGGAGCAGTGGAGTTCACATGGATAATTTGATTGTAAAATTTGTTTAAGGAGGTTAATTGTCTGACCAGGAACATAGATTCTGACTTACTAATTCGACAAACTTGGTCTCCTTAAGACAAAGTAAGTAATTAAAACTCAAGTCCCAGAAAGATTACACTGATCTGGAAACAAAGGTGGAAGATGTTAATGTCAGTGTTTAAAGTTTTGCTTCTTAAGAAAGGCAGCATTTCAGAGCCTCTTAAGAGACTTAACTCTTTTTTTTCTACGTTTTTATCAACTGTTATAAATACAATATAAACCTAGTTGTGTTCTTATTTCTTTTACTTCTAATGGGATTTTTATCAACTTAGCAAATTAACCTTGTAAATTAAAAATTTAAGACATGGATTTTAATACAGAATGAAAATTTAGAAAGCCATTTCTAGATGTACTTTTCCTATATGTACCATTTTTATATTTCTGTTGATGTTTGTTTTTATTTGTTTGAGAGCTTTAATGTCTGTTGAGAGTTGGTTGTTGATGGCATTAATTTATGATCTAATATTCTAATAGAAAAAGAGGGAGGGGTCCTTTGCTCTCTGGGCTTTTGTTCCTGACCTTGGTTCTAGTTTAGAAGTAGTGATCAGCTTTCTTACTCCAGTGAAAATTTATTCAGAATAAGATGTGAATGACACTCTTTGACCTCTAGCCTGAGTTATTAACAAATTGTCAACATGTAAAATGATTTCCAGATCTTAAGTTCACTGAAGCTATGAAGTTTACAAAGCAAATTTTTTCTTCCCAACTTTTATAAATTCTTCCTAATATATTAATAATATGACATTATTTTAAAATTTAGAAATATTCAAATATTTTAGTTGCTTCTGAAGAAAAAGGACTTTCTTGGCTTGAGATTTCATAGTCACTTTTCAGAAAAGAAAACCTTATAGTTTGCTTGGCTTTGGAATTCAGTGGTTTAAGGCTTTTATGAGTATTCAGATCCTGATTGTGATGTGAAGTTGAGGAGATATTGTGGTCATTCAGCAGAACCATTGAATAGGATACCCACATCCATGCTCTGTTGTCATTATAGTAAAATAGAGGGAAAGTGAGAGGCTCAAGATTTGAAGCTGAGTACAGGAACTAAGATCTATATCCAAACTTTCTGTTTACATGTGTTGTTTCTGACTGAAATTTACTGCCTGTAACTGATCAGGTAATGTGATCTTACAGAAAGTTTCACAGAATTCCTTATATTTTTGTAATTCAGCTGAATTACAACTTGCTGAAGCCTTGGAACAAGATTTATCCTAAACCAACCCACCCTGATAAAAAGCATCTTAGGGGAGAAAAAGTTTCATTTCAGTTTACAATTCCAAATTACAATTCATTGTAGGAGAGAAGTCACAGTGGCAGCATCTTGAAGCAGCTGGTTATATCATATCTATAGTCAAGAGTAGAGTAAAACAAATGTATGAAACCTTGCTTACTTGTTTTTCAGTAATTTTCGCTTCTCTTACAGTTCAGGAGCCTCTGTCTGGGGAATGGTGCCCCCATGATGACTAAGTCAAGACAGTTCCCCACAGACGTGTCCACAGGCCAACCTGATCTAGATAATTCCTCTTTTAAAAATGTCTTTCCAAGCGATTCTAGGTTGTGTCAAGTTGAAAGTTAAAACTAACTAGCACATTAACCGATATATTTGAAGAGCTGCTAAAGGTACACAGAGCTTAGCAGGTTCAAGGCAGAGGTTAGTCCAAGGCATGTTTCCAAGGTGCAGATCTGGGAGAACATCAATTTAAGTTGGAAACTGATGACAAAGCTTGATTGGAATTCCCATATAAGTGAATATGCTAAGCTGAAACCCTGCAGACAGTTAGGAGACTTTTGCCTGTCCTTCCTGTTGTGTGTTCACCAAATGGTCAGATGATGAGTAGAAGGATTCTGCTTCATCATGGTGCTGTTAGATGCCTCAGCTTTTATGATGTCCAGATAAGGGTGTTAAATTCTTTATTGGTCTGATGCATTCTTAAGGTCAGAGACCTGCTTTTTCTGTTCTGCCTTTGTTTCATCCACGTGTTCCCAACCTATACCAGTCAGCTCATAGATGGTACTTTTTACTTTGCATGAATAGTTTACCAGCCTGCCTTGTAGTTGGTTCTGGAAAGGTAATGGTTTCTACATGTTCAAATGTGATACTGAAGTGTCATCCTGGCTTATGCACTGAAAATGGGATCAACCACTGCTTGACAATGAAGTAAACTAGGACAAGGCAGAGCCTGAAGCCATTGTTCCACACAACATGGAGGAACGTAGAATACAACATAACCTCATCTTAATAAATTGCCACTCTCAAGGGGTCTAGCACTCATCAAACTACAAGAAACGACTAAACAAGAAAATGTAACCTGAGACCTGGAGAAGTCAGTCAAGACAGAGACAGACTGGAAATGACAATTGATGATGCAGTTACAGACAGGGATGTCAGATGTACTCAAGGACTTAAAAGGAGGTGTGAATGTCACCAGGACAGAAATGGAGAGGAGAGAAACAAGCAGAAGAATTTAAGCTGAAGGCATAAAATTTGAGGAAAGAGTTCACTATTGTCTAAAGAGCATATCTGAGAGAAAAATAAGACCATGAACTTGAAGAAACATCAACCAAATGCAGAAAGAGGCAAAGGGTGGTATGGGCTGTGAGAAAAGGACCAAACCCTCAGTGAAAAAAATTTGGGGAAAAAAATCAGGTAAATAAATAGATCTAGAATTTGAGAAGCCAAAATAGTGGAGGAAATTTTAAATGTATTATAGGAAATGATACCCCATGATTTAGATGCCACTGAGAAAATGGTCAGGTGAACCATTTTGAAAAATATTCAAGATATGTATG